GCTTGAATTCACCAGGCGATGGGATTATGGGATCAGACTGGGGGAGAGGAAGAGAATCAGACTCGGGATCCTCTATTAGACTAGGACCCAGGGAGGTGGTGACAGTGACAATCAAGATGATGTTGATGGCAGTGATTCACTGAGCATCCACTCTGTGCTCTGCCCTCTTCTAAACTCTATGTGTATAAACATATTTAATCTTCACAGGTATGAGGCAGGGAGAGGGAATGTGACTTGTTCAAGGTCACACAGCTGAGAGGTGACAAATCTGAGATTTGTAGAGGCTGTGCAAGCTCTAAGTCACTGTGCTATTCTCTCTCTTTTTAAATTGATTCTAGAGAGAGGAAGGGAGAGAGAAAGAGAGAAACATTGATGTGAGAGAGAAACATCAATTGGTTGCCTCCGGCAGGCACCCCAACCAGGGATCGAACCTGCCACCTTTTGGTGTACAAGACGACACTCCAACCAAGCCACACTGGCCAGGGCTCTCTCTCCTTTTATTGAGATAAACTTTCATACAGTGAAGTGCACAGATCTTAAAGGCACAGCTCAACAATTTAAAAAATTACATCTGCCCTGGCTGGTGTGGCTCAGAGGGCCTCTCCAACAATGTCCTTGCCTCGGGGCCCCACCGTCCATGGCCCATGCTGCCCAACATCTCCAGGCCTTTGCCCACTGTGCCCGCTGCTCAGAACAAGTACTGGTGGGTTATGGAGTAAAATCACTTTCATTGAGTTCCTATAAGGAAATCCAACAGCTCTCATAACAAGAGTCAACCCCAAATTTCCCAAGGTTGGCCAGGGAGGAGGCAGCTGCTGGACCTCAGCCTCCAACTCTCAGCTCCCCAATACTTATCTTCCTCTTGGGGGCTCTTTTACTGGTGACCCCTGCTGCTCCCATCACTTTGAACTCAGGTGCTGCTCCCCCCTTAACACTCTGGGCTACATGTGCACTCAGTGTCCTCCTTTGATTTCCTGAAGCCAAGTGGGAAATCTGAACAGGATTCTGCTAAAAGCCTGGGGCTGGTAAATAGAAACAGCCCATCTGATCTTCAAAGTGTGTCTCATTCAGCTTCAGTTTAAGACCCCCCTCTGGGGGCCTCCCTGCCTATTGCTCCACTAGCCCCTTTGGCAGGGGAGTGTCCCCCACCTCCTGGGAGTGCCCTCCAACACCCTCCTCCCAGCTCCTCCTGGGTGAGCGCATGGATAGAGGCCTCTTAGGGTGCAGTCGCTTCCTGCCTCCCCAGATCCTCCTGCCTCGTGCCAAGTCAATCGTGAAGTTTGTGTCTTGCTCCCTGGCTGACTGGCTCTTTGCCACCTCAAAGCCCAAACCCAAAAGGGACGTGGACCTTGAAAGACAAGAGTTGGGGAATCCCACATGGGAATTCCCCTTCAGCCCCTCCCAGCCCTCAGTCCAGGCTTCCTGCCACTTCCCCATAGGTGCCGGGGCTGATCTGTGCACCCCTGTAGAATGGCCATCATTTCCCCACAGCTCACCCAGAGGGGGTGGGGCAAAGACAGAGAAACACCGCTGTGGGAACTAGGGAAAAGAAAGGCCCCGGTCTCACACGCCAGCCACACTTTGGGACATCCAAGGGGCCAGCAGCCCTTAATGCATTACAGTTAAGTCTGAGAAGGCTGAACTCTAGAAATAATCATGACATTCATACTAGAGCAGCAATAACATCCACTACCATTTATTGAGCAGTTACAAAGTACCAGGACTCAAGCACTTTACATGAACCGTGTAAATGAATTATCATAACCCCACTGAGTGGTACTATCAGGAGCCCCACTGTCCAGATGAAGACACTGAGGTTCGGGAAGCTGACGGGGTCAATGGAGCCTGGATTTTCACCTCTGACTCCAAAATCCCAGTTCTTTTGGTTACAAATTCCTCTTAAAAATTCTCAACCCTTCTTTCTTTCCTA